ATTTTTTTTATTTCTAATAGTTTTTTGAAATTTTTCCCTTTACAACTTAATACAGTCCTGAACCTTTTATTTTTTTAAATGAAAATGACTTTTATAAATATTTTGCTCTCCCCAAAAATGTTAATTGTAATTCAAAAATAGTTAACACTAAATAAACTTTATCTAAACTTTCAATATTTATTTTTCCTACATAAAATTTTCAGTATTAATAGTTTGTATTTTTAAAATATCCTTGTTTTTCCCGTTCTTTAGTCACATCTAACTTTTTAAATTTCCCACCCATGAATGGAGATCTTACCGCAGTTTCACCCATAAGGGATTTTTCCTTCGTTCACCCATGAATGTGATCTTCCCTGTCAAAAACCAGAAAGGTGAAAAATGTATGAGGAATCTCAACAACATCGGAAGAGGGAAATTCAAAGGTTTTTCCCCCCAAACTGGTGTTTGGTTGTCCATAAAACCAGAGCGCAACAACCCTGTCAAACACTTTTGTTTGTTGCTCAAAAATGGACTAGGGGAAGAAGGTGGGGTGGTAAAAAATTTTAGTCTCTGGCACCACACCTCTTTTATGATAATTAAAGCATATGTCACAGAGAGGTATTTTTAATGGGGTTATTTTTAAACTTTTGTTTATTTGCAATTCCCGTGTTGTATTTCATTATAATATTTACACTTTTTTCACCAACACCCACACACACCACACACACCACACACACACCCCAAACCCCACAAAACAATACACACACATTCACCCCAAAACACACAAACATACACACACACCACACACACACACACACCACACCACAACACACAACACAACACACCACACACACAACACACCCACACAACACACACTGATGAGAAAATTTAAATCGGATCAGGATGAGGCAGGACTGCAAAGACCTGGACGGCGGCACGGGGTTCAGAAATGTCCCTCGAATTCAAACCCTGCCAAATGCAAAGTCATAAAAAGGGTTGGGGGGGGGCAAGGACCGCAGCAGAGTATAGGTAGGGGACAAAAAATACAGACCCCACTAGGGAGAAAATCTTGGGGGTGACCATAAAACCCAGCACGCCCGGAGGCACACATCAACAAAATCCCTGCGCGCTATAGGCGCCTGGCAAACCGAGAAAAGCTTGTCCTTAATAAGGAATCGTTAAGACACAGTACACGTTAGTTATGCCCATAGTGGGATGCAGCACCATCTGCTCTCCGTATGGAGTATCAGATTGGAACCCACACCTGGTCAAGCAGTCAAGAAGTTAAGAAAATAAAAAGGTTTGCAAAAAGGTATTCCGAGCCAGGGGAATTTTTGTATGAGGAAAAAGGGTTTAGGGAAATGGACTGACGCATGAAGGACAGAAGGGTCAGGGGAGCATGATAACGACATACAAATTGCGGGGAATAGACAAGGTGGACGAGCAGGTGTTCAAGAGAGGGGAACAAAAAAAGGGGCACAATTGGAAGCTGAAAGACTCGACGATCACAGGGATTGGAAGTATTTTATCGTTTGAGTCGTCAGGGTGAATTACCCTGAAAGTGAAGTAGTGGAGGCAGGAACCATACATATTTTTAAAAGGGGTTAACAAGCTCAGGAAGCGAGGAGAGAGGCCCTAAATAAGCGATCAGTGAACGGGGGGGGCCGGGAGTGAGTCCAACCCCTGCTTTCACAAATTAGGTGAGTCAATTGGTGAGTACACACTGGGGGCCGAAACAGGGAGAGCCAAGTCATGGATGGGGTGTGGCAAACCTCATGACCAACTGTTGGTAATTACCAGAAAGGGGGGGAGGATGAACCAGCAAGATGGACCTTGTTTTCACCCTGAATAACCCAAAATTGAGACATGACATACGAAAGGCCTTGGGAGCATGACCACGTTCTGAAGTTTTGAATAACGGGGGTAAAAGTGGAAAGGGTAACGGGTTGAAAGGAAAAAGCCAACTACAAAAGGGGGGGACTATACAGGAATGGGGGCCTTCCGAGGAGGTTCAGTTGGAGAAAGTCAGTAAACAAAAAATGATGGAATCGTAACAACAAAATGCAAGGGGGGCAGGGGAAAAGGGTTTGTTCCTAAGGGTAACGAAATATCCCGAAGGTGTAGGGAGGTAAAAACTAAGGCTCTAGAAAATGGAAAAAGTACAGAAGGCAAAGGACTAGGAAAAAAAAAGGTTAAATCGACGAGCCAAAACGAGTATGTACCGATAAGGAGGGGGGGCCCCCGCAACAGTTAAAACGACTTAGCATCGAAAGTCAAGTTGCCCCAAAATGTTTTTACAGCCACATCAGGAGGAAGGCAACGTCAAGGCCCAGGTAACAGGCTGTGGACAGTGGGGACCACAAGAAATGCCATGAAAATGTAAGGAGCTAACATGAATTTCAGGAAGTTTTTACGTGGGGGCGGGGGGACCTGGGAAGGGGAAAACAATGGGCTATACCCAAAAAGGGATATACAACAAATTGTTGGGGTGAATTACACCAACTGAGGAGGGTGTAAAGCTGTGTGACCTTGATACCCAAAGGGGGTGGGACTGGACAAACATCTCCCAGGGTCCTTAGAGAGGGAGCAAGACCTAGGTGGCACTAACCAAAAATTTTAACTTTCTTGAAAAATGGGCAACTTCTGAAGGGGGTGGAAGAACAAATTAGTCCCCCTCTTAAGAAATTAGACAGAAATGAAACCTAAATTTAACCATGTGCTGACTGTATTGTATGCAAAAGTCATGGGGAAGATTTTCGGGAGGAGGGTGGGGACACCCGGGGCGGAACAAGTTTTTTAACGACGGTCAGCATGGTTATGGAAGGCAAATCTGTGTCACAAAACCTACTAGGTTTATGACAAGGTAACTGAATTAAGAAAGGAGAGACTGGGGGTGGGTTGTTGGCATTTTTCTATCGACGGCAAAGAAGGCCGTCGACACAGTTCCTCACAGTGATTAGTACTGAAGATAGAGAGGATCAGGACACATATAACAGGAAGCCGTACATACATTGGATCAGAGAATACCTAACAAAGGTAATTGATGAAGTATCACAGTGGGCGGCCTCTGACGTGTGGTGGTGTCCCACAGGGGTCAGTCCTTGGACCAAGTGCTGTTAATTGATATATGTGAATGACACTAAGTGAGTGTCCTTATTTGCAGTTGATGTGAAGTTAATCGGGGGAGGAATTAATAAGGTCTTCAAGAGATCTAGACAGGCTGGATGCGTGGTCACAGCAATGGCTCGTATTTATTCCTCCCAAATGCAAAAGTCTGAGTGTTCGGGGGGAAGGGCCAAACGAGGACTGCTGGACAGGGTATTGGCTAGGCGGGCCAAAGGCAGCAAATCTCACTTCAAGGAGAAGAATGATCTGGGGGAGGGAGTTTAAAACAGAGCAGTCGCCGGGAAAAAGCCCACATTAATCAAATAAATGCTGCGGCATATGGACGCCTGGCAACTCATGAAATAGCATTCAGATACCTCAGTAAGGAATCGTTCATGACTCTATACCTGTGTATGTCAGACCCATACTGGAGTACGCAGCGCCCAGTTTTGGAACCCACACTGGTCAAGCACATCATGAAATTCGTGTGATGAAAGTGCAAAAGGTTGGCAACAAAGGCTGGTTCAGGGCTAAGGTAGGAATGTTCTATGATGAAAGGCAGTAAGGGTACTGGGTCTTACCGACGCTGGCGGACAGGAAGGCTCCAGGGGAGGACTTGTTAATGCGGTACAAAAATACTGCGTGGAATAAAATATTCATTATGACACTAAGTTCATTTATTTCCTATGTGCTGCTGTTCAGCGATCTTGTAGGAAAACTTAAGTTTTTGTGTAGCTGCTGAATAAAATGTTGTTCTCACTAACATTATTAGAGGACAGGAACATTTTGAGTTTGAAGTACAGTACATTCACTTGAGAGATGTTATTATATGCTAGAGAGTCTTTGGAAGTAGTATGTCTGTGGTTCTTCTGGCAATAGGGACTTGCCTTGGTGGGTCACTACCAGTTTGGGTCTCTGCCATGTGGGTCAACTCTGCCATGGTGGTCACTTACCTTGGTGGGGTCCACTCTGACATGGTGGATCACTACCAGGTGTGGTCACTTACCATGGTGGGTCACTCTACCTTGGTGGGTCTCTCGGCCATGGTGGATCACTTCCAAGTGGGTCCTCTTCCATGGTGGGTCACTCAGCCCATGGTGGGTCACTATAACAAGGTGGGGGTCACTCTACCATGGTGGGTCACTACTTACCAAGGTGGGTCAAATCTAACATGGGTGGGTCACTCTACAAACGTGGGTCACTCTGCCTTGGTGGGTCACTCTACAAGGAGGGTCATCCACAAGGTGGGTTTTCGCTATAGCCTTGGTGGGTCCACGTACCATGGTGGGTACTCTACCATGGGGGATTCACTCTGCCATGGTGGGGGCACTCTGCCATGGTGGGTCACTTACCATGGTGGGGTCACTCTGCCATGGTGGGTCGACTCTACAAGGGTGCGGGTCACTCTTCCATGGGGGGGTCACTCTACAATGGGGTCACTCTCAATGGTGGGTCAGTCTACCATGTGGGTTCACTCTTCCAATGGTGGGTACACTCTACCTTGGGGGTCAACTCTGCCATGGTGGTCACGCTTCTCCCCCTGGGGGGTTGGTCAACGCTGCATTTTGGTGGGTCACTCTACCTTGGTGGATCACTATTTCCATGGTGGGTCACTCTACAATGGTGGGTCGCTTACCATTACGGGTCTCTATGCCATGGTGGGTCACTCTACCATGGTCAGGTCACTCTACCATGGGGTCACGCTGCCATGGTGGGTCGCCTCCTATACCATTGTGGGTCACTCTTTCAGTAGTAGTAACCTGTTACCAGTCTCAGTAGTTTGTAACCAGTTACCTGTACCGTAGGAACTCAACGTCGACCGTCTCGTGCGTCTCGGTTCTTTACATTTTGTTGTGACCTCAGAGTATTAAAGGACCACACTGCAGTTAATGGGCAGCGGCGAACTATGCCAGTATTACTAGAGTGTGCAAGGAGATAGGAACGGCTCGGTCTCTCTCAACATAACAGCCATTTATAAGGTTAATTTTAACAGCGACGTGAGTATTTCTACCCCTGTTCCACGTATCGATCTCCCACATGATAAATGGTTGGGCAGCGGTGTGTGGAGCGTTGGGATTTACGTTTTAAGGGTTATTCAAAGGCGTTTGAAGGCTGTTTGGGTGAAGTTTAGCGCCAGGGCTCAAAGGTGAGTCTCCAGCCACCGACTACCCTCTCACACCAACCCCGAGCAGCCAGCCAGTGAATCCCATCACTGCTTTCATCCGGCTAAGCCTGTTGCACCGTGTCATGCTTACGGTTAGTTCGTGATGTGCTATTTTTGCTTCAATCTTCCGAGGGGTTGACCCGGAGTTTGCAGTTAAGACAGTCAGTAAGAACCAGCGATGTGGAAACGTGAACGCCAGTCTGCTATTCATCTGCCTGTCTCCTGTTCATCCAAACTGCTCCTCCGTGCTTTGTGCATCGGTACTCGTCTTTCCAGTCATCCATTCTCGTTGGGTAAGCCAGTCAAGCCAACAGCTTTTAACCACTCAGCATGAGAGAGTGAAGTAAGCCCACGACAGTAAGATGTAAGCCAGATTCCTCTCGCTTGTTTTGTTTATATCGCTTTGTGCTTACTGTTGGTGCTAAGCGTGGTTTTCTCCATTCACTGTGGAATAGTGTGGGTTAAACCTTCGTGGGTGTGTGGGGCGCGCGGCTGCCCTCCCACGTTCCACCCCCACCTCTCTTCCCCCAACTATCTCCCTCCTACGGGAGTGCCGCGGCAGAATGCAACCACCCCTCCTGACGCCATCTCATCTACCTGTAGGGTGTTTGCCTCCCTTCTACCGGGTTCCGAGTACTGTTTTGGCTCTCATAATTGGTCTCAAAGTAGATTGTAGTGTGTTTGCCATCGTGTTTAAAGCCTTTTATGTGAGTTCGCCTAGAATGAAAGCATCAGTATGCACGACAACACTGATATGTCGGGCATTCATCACCGCGAGGGACACCATACACCCGCCTCCCACCAGTATACTCACCGTCCGTTCCTATCTGACTTCAGTGATAATTTCCTGAGACATTTTCTTGCCTTTAAAAGACATTTGCGTGTGTGAGGGACCATTTTTAGTTAAAATTGAGTTTGTGTACTCTAAACCTTGTGTTTTTTCAGTGTAAACGCAGTATTTTGTCCTACATTATTTTTTAGAATATTTTTTTCAGGGTTGTTTCGTATCCTTATATTTTTTTTTTTTGTGTTTTTTCTTAGCTACTCCTGTCTGTTGTAAAGTATTATGGTTTAGTGTACCAGTCAGTCAACCTGTGTGAAGTGATTCAATTTTTTTTTATTGTTTCTTTTTCTGCGTTTGTATGCTGCAGTGATTTTACCCACAGTTTTACAAAATTTCTATTTTTTTCTATATGTGTCAGTTTTTTTCGTATGCAATACAGTTGTCTCATTTTCTCTAATTGTTTTCGCAGACTGTTTGTACCATTATTTTGCCAGCAAATTTTTGTCGTATCAGGTCACAGCAAGATTTGTATCCAAGAGTAGGATTTTGTTTTTGTTAAGATATTTAATGAAGGGTGCTTCGTCATGTAAGTGTTAACTTACCGGTTTTGTTCATGTGTTATTTTTTATATATTTTCCATAATTCTTGAACAAATCATTCTTGATGCTAATTTCTTTTACTTTTTTCGTTAAAGTGTTTTCATTTCTCTGTTGAGTAATTGTTTGTCTAAATTACAATTACGAGTTAAAGTTGTTCAATCTGTTTATTTTTTTGTCTTCATAATTTTAATTCATTATTTACCTGAGTTTTACCAGTGAACTTTATTACTGCAGTGTTTATTTCTACACCTTAGTTTGTTGAATTTTGTTCTGATGTGAAATTATTTGTTGAACTGTTCTGCAGTGAATTCTTTTCTTTTATTGATATTTTGTGCATTATATTTTTATTTTGTCTTTGCAGTCTTGAAAATACTTAAATTTCCCAGTTTACAATGTAAGTAATTTTTTTTTACAACTTTCACATTGATTTTTAAAAATTTTAATTAATTAATTTCTTTATTAGCAAGAGTTAAAGACAGGCTCATTTGAATTTAATTCAGTTTCCAGTATATTTTTACTAGTATCTATTTCAATATAAATTTTTTTCCTTGGTTAATAGTCCTTTTAATTGATGTGTGTTTATTCCTCTTGGCAGTGTATGTAGGTATGTTTCTGCAGAAATTAGTTTGTTATCTTTTCATTTCAATCTCTAGATTTTATATCATTTTTATTGTTCATTATTTTTTGCCTTTATTTGAGTCTCGTGCTGCTACATTTGGCCTTTATGTCTCCATACCGTCAAGTGATACTTTAGTGAATGTTCGACTACTCAGACCTTCAGGCTACTACTGCTGGTCTGTCTTAAGTCACTCACAGTTCCTTACCGACTGACAGTCCGACCTCAGACACCGTTTGATATTTTAGTTGTTTACTAGTGATGCCCTTGAGGTCGTTACCTTTATTCATTGGCATTGTTACATAGTTTGTAGGCTGGTTTGACAGCATTCGTTATCGTGCTAGTGCTCTTGCTGAAGGGCCTCCGTCAGAAGGAAATTGCATTATCAGAATTGCTTAAAGAAGCTCTTTTTCGTTTCATGCTGCGTGTTCACGTTTTGTTGATCTCCTGGATATGCCGAGTATGCTGGAACTTACTAGGATGGTCACAATATGAGGACCTGATTAGTTCTTTCCTTGTCCCAGTAAAAAAGTGTTCCATAGTCGTTCTTATCAGAACTAGTGAATTGCTACACACACTTGGAGTACTGATTCGTGTGTGCCTTTTGCTGTTAGAATTAGATAAACTTTTATCTTTCATGTATCTATGCTGTCCAATCATCATCTTTTCTCTCTGATGAGGCAAACATTACAGGATCTAATTGTTAATAAATAGCAGGGCTTTTGGTGCAATTTAAAGAAACTAATGCGCTGCTTCTGTGTGTTTGCTTATGAGGTGATCCTCCAACTGTAACGATTGGATCCTCTCTACCATGCCTTAATTCATGTACGTTCCTTGTGCCCCAAGGGGACTTTCCCTGTTTTAAAGTAATGTCACAATAGGCCTCAGTTCTGCACCACCTCTTGTTTGCGCCACAGAGACAAATCGTGGTCTCATCCATTCAGAGATCATCATGAAACCAGTGTACAGAGTTCGTTATTACACTCGTAGTATTCATAGTTTCATTCTGTAACCATAGTCGGGGATAATTGTTACAACTGTGGTTTCCGTGGAATTATTGCTATTCATTGTCCTGATAGTTATCCTAAGAGACGTCGTTGATGATGTGTACTCAGTTCTTTCCTTACTTGTACTTGACTCATAGAATAAATGGAAATGATCATCTGAGTGTAATGCTCTCTATTACCTTCAGTACTCTAGATCTTTCCGTGGTCGTCCAAACCGCAGAAAACCCGTCGAGGGAAATAGATCTAGTGGTGTTCTAAATAAACCAGAACCAGGCTCATTCATCCAATTCTCAACCCTAACCAGAAACCAGGGCTCGATTGTTCCAATTCGGGAGGGAGATTCGAGCGCATACCAGTCAACCGACCCATGGTGGACAGTAGGTGATAATGTGTACACCATACCCGTTTCACAACTCCTCTTTGACGCCTGAAGCAGTCTCGAGCACAATGCCAAACCTGCTAGATGAT